AATATATTTTTATTATAAAAAAATTAAAATACTTATTTTAATAAATTAAATTGTCTTAAATAAAGTGATCATTTTTATTTTTTTATCTGAGATTATATTTAAGTATCACATTATAATTTTTGTGACTTATTAGGAATAATATAGTAAAAATTAATAGGATAAACATAATAAAGTTATCAATTTATTTTCTTTAAGTATTTTCTAAATTTCTACATTCATTTAAAAAATAAATATTTTATGAGTGCAATGTCTACTCTTTTTTTTTTATAAGAGTAAATGTCTTTATTTAAGTATGTTGAAGTTAAAAACAATTATGTAACAATTACTCTCATTCTTCTTAATGTAGATCCTCTCCTACCAATACAATATACATAAACATGATTAAAGAGTTAAAAAATAAAATAAAAATTGGAAAATAACCTACATTAATAAACTAAATTATGACACATTTAATGAGTAAATAAGTAATAAATATTTTAGTCAAAAAAATATAGTATATTATAATAAAAAAATAAGAAGGGATTAATAGATTTACTCCACTAAATAATTCATGTTCTTACATCAAGTATTCATTTGAACAATTAAAAGTCTTTAATGTATAGATCAAATTTATAAAATTTAAAAAAATAAAAAATTATTTGATACTTGATTTCATTAATTTAAATTGATGGATAATTATAAAAAAAAATATTTTATATGTTATGTTGAAACTATCTAATGAAGTAGTATATATTTTTTAATTTTTTTAAATCTGTAAACTTAATCTATATATTAAAAAAATTTAATTTAACAATTGAATTTTTAAAAGTTTAATATAAAACATTAATTGAATAGAGTAGATCTATCAAAACTTACTTTTAAAGTAAGTAAATTTTTTCTTCATAAAAAATTAAGATAATTTTATTATAAAGTGAAAGTAATTAAACAATAAAATAAAATATTAATATAATTTATTATATTAGATATAGTAGGGTAATTAAAATATATTTAATAATATATATTTTATAAAAACAATTAATATTTTATATAAAAAAAAATGAATAAAATTTTAGTGGGGGCAACTGCCCCCACAATTGTGAACGTGGATCCGTCATTGATCGGTGACACTAAAAAAAAACATTAATCATCATATATCAATATATGTTTATATACATGCTACCTAGTAACTTTGTCATCAACATAAAATATATCTTGATATAAATTATTAATGTTTATATACACATTTAAACTTTTAAAATGATTATACTTACGAAAACATTATTAACGTTTGACATTTTATGTTCGTTATTTTTTACAATAATTATATTTAAATTCATATAAACTATGATTTTTAATTAGTGGGTTGTGTAAAAAAATTTATACCGACAATACATTATTATCAAAAAAAATTAAGTGTAAAAGATAAACTTTCCATCGATAATTTAACATAAATACTTTTGGCATTTCCCTTAATATCTGGAGAACAATATTATAAAAATTACGTCTTATGAATAGGAAGTGCCCATTGATCGTCAATTTTAAGATAATACGTTGATGACGTTAATGGATTAAAAAAATAAAATAAAATTAATGAAGATGTGAGATTAATAAGAGTTGTAATAGACAAAGGAAGAGGATATATATATACATTTCTCCTTGAATTGTTTCAACCCGTGGCCGTGTAACGAGTAATGAGTAGTAATGCAAGATCCCACGATCTTAATTTATTTTGGAGTTTGGAGACACTCCTGTAGACGGCCGGTCCCATATGGAAAGTGGCAATTACGGTTTAACCGTTTTGAAGGGAGTGCCGGTTCAAGTAGGCCGGACCACAGTTGTTCGCATCAAACACTGTTTGCTACACTACATATATGCTCCAACCATTCCACCATCCATATGCATCTTCGCCCTCCTTAACTTATTTATTTATCAAATTATATATCTTTTACTCAAAACATATCTTCAATTTATCTCTAAAATCGGCTCAAGCCAACGTACTTATATTTAGTTTATATTCGGTCCTAATAAAACTCAGAATGAAATGAAAAAAATTAATTCAATATTAAATTGAAACAAAGTGAGTTATTCTTGAACATTTTGTTGACTTGATTTTATTATTATTTTTATTCATGATATATGTTTTACAATTTAGTTTTTTTCTTCTAAAATTAATGCCACGATTTGAATTAGAAAATTTGCAAATTAAAAAAGCTTTTAAATTCATGTGTCAAAGGAAGCATAATGATTCTGTCCTCCACTTGTCCACAAAATATTAACTTATCTTTTATTTAACCATAGCTTAATTCTAATTTATCTTTTATGTTGGCATAAAGCCCACACTTTTGACAAAGCCATCACTAAATTTATAACCCACCTAATGAATCATCAACATGGCAATGGCACATCCAGATTAATTAGTGGCTTTTCATACTAATTAAGGATCACCAATTTGGAATTGTCATCATGAAGTGGCATACCAGTTAGCTCGTAAAGTCCCAACTAAGGAAATTAATATCGAACATAGGAAACTCCATTATAGTGTTGTCTGTGTTGAAATTCAATTTGGTGTTTAATTTGTGTGGTTAATTAGTTTCCGTGATTGCACATTAGCACTTCAAGATATGGAATTCGTACAAGGTTAATCGATGAATTATTATAGTAACATATATAAACGGCGACTATATATATATATATAAAGACAAAAACAATTGATTCCTAGCCGTTTGGCTGCATTAATGTCTAAAAAACAATTATAAGAACCAGAAGCAGATAATACAGACCCTGCCATGCTACTGTATTTTATAACTATACTCCCCGGAACAAAAGCCTTAAATGATTGCTGCAAATAATATGAATGTGTCTATATTTCATTAAACGGATTGAATGAATTAGTATTATAGCAAAGAATAGACAAATTTATGTTTTTGTTTATAAGTAAATGCAGTACACGTGGCTATTCAAATAATTGAAAGGAATAATATAATATCTTAAGCTAATTAATTAGAAGTTTCTTTAATTGTTGGTTGGAAAGCTAATGAGCGATTAAAAGTATAGTACGTGAGGAAAAGTAATGAAATTATATGGTGCTTTATTAATATTATTAATTATGAGGAAAGATTAATTAATATCGACATATATAAATGATAATAATTTGTATTCTTTAATTTAATTAAGTATTTTAGGATTTTAATTTTAATATTAAATACAAAATGGGTTATTTTAAAAGGAGATTATCCATCTTGTATGCATTCAATTATTTAAGATTTTTTACAAAAAATTAGTCACCGATTATAAACAATTATAAGAAAAGAGTGGAGAAAGTAGTAGGAAATGATATTGGATGCACGTTGGCGTTCACGTTCACCTTAGATTAGGGGAGTCCCCATGTGATACTCGCAACACCAATCTGTTTTGTCATTTTGTTTGGCTCTATGCGTCCTTTTCTTTTTGTCTTGCACGTGTGTTCTTCCTTCCTTTCATTTCTGCCTCTCCCATTCATGTTTTCATTCTCACTATCAACACTTCATTTTGTTTAAACAGATAAGAATGTGTCGTAAAAGATGGGAGGAAAAAAAGAAAGACAACTTTTGAAGATAAAATGAACTCATATTTTCTGTATTTGGAAAAATGGAAACTGTACCGTCTCGGTACAAATCCGATACGGTCAACGGATTAGTCGAAAAATAGCCGAAGGGTTAAACCCTTTCGTATCTAATGCTTAGGACTGGTAGGCAAGTGTACCGTCTCGATACAAATCCGATACGGGCAACGGATTAGTCGGAAAACAGCCGAAGGGTTAAGCCCTTTCGCATCTAATGCTCAGGGCTGGTAGGCAAGTGTACCGTCTCGGTACACATCCGACACGGTTAACGGGTTAGTCGGAATGTAATTCAGACCGACTGTGAGCACCAGACTGACTGTGAGTACCAGGCCGATCTCACCACATGCGGCAGACCGATCAGAGGCTAGACCGACCCCTCTGGTACAGGTAGTCGGTATATGACCGACCAGAACCTCTCCACGAGGGCCTGGCCGATCATGTACCAATCCCCCTCACTTAAGAATCTACTTGGTCAATAACCGACCAGGTACCTTAAAGTCTTAGTCAATCGGCAACCGACCGACTCTCCCTATATAGATACCATCTCCCAGCAAAGGTAAGTTCCCACCTTGGTTCATTGAGCATTTTACGGATAAGAACGGTTAAGAAAATCCCTACATTCTCGAGGCCCGCGAGGTCCATAAACAAGAAATTATATAACCTAAAACCCTAAGGCTAAGAAGGCAAATTACACTCTTGAATGCTCTGGCTTTTGAGGCTTGACCTAGGAAGAAATTCTAGTCTATCCCTTGGCCGGAACAAAAAGATTAGTCATATCTTTGAGTTATACATGTTTGATTGATTTTTTGTGTCATTAGGAAAATATCATAAAGACCTACAAGTCTACAACTAATATTCATGACATGAAAACCTCATCTAAGAAGTCTCATTCCGGAGAAACTACTTTTATTATAATAGCGTATAAGGTTTAGGTTTATAGAGGGAGAGAGAGAAAATTATGTTACTTAGATGCCATGCCACCCTAAAAACTTTAAAAAGAATGCAACGCTCCTTGAGTGTTACAGAAGTGATTTCCTGTCCTCAAGTGCACGAAAACTGTAATTAAAAAGATATTATTTGTCTTCTAAAGTACATTATTATATATAAAAAAATTCCATTATTTGAACATCAAGATCATTATAAGTCATAACCATTATATTCTATATATTTTTTGTTACTTGACTTTTATGGTTTTATATATTTTTTAGAAACACGATTTTCAAAGAAATTAAAAGAAAAAAAAAAGACAACAAATATGAGGAAAGTAAGAAAACGGTTTTACAGAAGTCTAGAAACAAAGGTTAAAAATAGAATAAATTTTGTTGAGAACAAAGTTAATCCGAAATCATTTTGGTCAGATAAGAATAGAATAAAAAAAGATGGTAAGGAAATGCAGTAAGAGTGTGAGTAAACGCACGAAAAAGAAGAAGGTATCTATAAAAAGGCAAGAGCGGAAATGGTAAAGGCGAACAGCATTTGTGTGGTATCGTATCGAATGGATTGGAGAACAGGTCCTCCCCCGTCGCAGGAGGTGGACCTAGACAACCTGAAAGCCCTCAAAGTCCTGGGAAAAGGCGCTATGGGCACTGTCTTCCTCGTCCGCGACAACACCAACACCAACACCAACACCTTCGCCCTGAAGGTGGTGGACAAAACGTGCGTCCACGCCAAGGTGGACGCCGAGCGGCGTGCGCGTTGGGAAATCCAAGTGCTCTCCACGCTCTCCCACCCTTTCCTCCCTTCCCTCATAGCCACCTTGGAGTCCCCACAGTTCATAGCGTGGGCCCTCCCGTATTGCCCCGGCGGTGACCTCAACGTTCTCCGCTACCGCCAAACCGACCGCACCTTCTCCCCTTCCGTTATACGCTTCTACGTCGCTGAAATCATCTGCGCGCTAGACCACCTTCATTCCATGGGCCTCGCCTACCGCGACCTTAAGCCCGAAAACGTCCTCATCCAAAACACCGGCCACGTCACCCTAACGGATTTCGACCTATCACGAAAATTCTCCCCCAAGCCCAACCCTAAACCTAAACCTAATCCCATCGTCACTCCCCTCCCCGTCGCCCCCGAGCCCCGCCGCCGTAAGCACCGCCGCAACTTCACCCGCTGGATCCCCCTCCTCCAGCCGGACGCCCGAACCAAGCACGCCAACGGCCTTAAGAAGGCCAACTCCGCCCGCGTCAGCCCCGTCAGCCGCCGGAAACCTAGCTTCTCCGACGGCGAGCGCTCCAACTCCTTCGTCGGCACCGAGGAGTACGTCTCGCCGGAGGTCGTCCGCGGCGACGGCCACGAGTTCGCCGTGGACTGGTGGGCGCTCGGAATCCTCATCTACGAAATGCTCTACGGTACGACGCCGTTCAAAGGCAAAAACCGCAAGGAAACGTTCCGCAACGTTCTCACGAAGTCGCCGGAGTTCGTCGGGAAGAGAACGCCGCTCACCGACCTTATTGAGAGGCTCTTGATGAAGGATCCGACGAGGCGGTTGGGTTACACGCGCGGCGCGGCGGAGATCAAGGAGCACTCGTTCTTCCGAGGAGTTCGCTGGGACTTGTTGACGGAGGTGGTCCGGCCGCCGTTTATTCCGTCGCGGGAGGACGCCGCCGGAGAGGAGCCGGAGAAGTTAGGGAACGGTGGGTTGGATATTAGGGATTACTTCCGGAAGTTGAAATCGTCGCCGTCGTTGCCGGCTTCGCCGTCGGTGTCTTCGTCGTACGGGCTCAAGAAGAATGTTTCGCTAACAGAATTCTGACGCACGTGCATGTGCTGTATTGCACGTGCGAGAGTTAGTTATTCGTTTTAGTAATGTTGTAATTTTTGTGCATAGAGAATAACGGTAGATCGTGAAGAAACGGGATTAGGTAGCAGTGTTAGTTGGTAAAAACTACGAAGGTGTAAGAGTTGTAGAATTAAAACGATTTTTCTTAACCTTTTTCCCTTCCCAACTCTCTTGTTTTCTATTAGGTCATTGCGTTTATACGGGAATTATTATCTTTATATCTTCTTTGGTACCGGCAAGTATTTCAAACTCGATTAAACACCTTTTAGCTTTATGAATTACCTCAACAGTAGAAAGTTACCATAAATATTGGCAATGTACGATAATGGCAAGTAAAATAACCGCACCTTTTCTTTTTTCTAAAGGAAAATGTAATAAGCAACAACCAATTTTAGCTCATAAAATCTGTCTTTAAACACAGAAGATGATCTAGTATTTATAAGATTAATTTTCACCAATGTTATAATAATGTTTAGATACCAAAAATCGTATAGATTCGTCTATATACAAAAGAAAAAGCAAATTACGTGTTTATATACGATTTTCTTTTTATTAAAATTTACAAGAAGATGTGCAATGTGTTAGTGATATTTTTTTTATAATTTTTTTTTTATTTCTTAATTAGAGCTCTATCTAAAGATACCTATTAATAACTCTCGTTTCTTTATTGCACGTACCTAATGAGTGTTTTGAATGTTGGGTTTGTAGCATAATCAATGAATCAATCTTGTTCAAAAATTGACATCATTATTCTGGTTCTGGACGGAAAGAAAGTGGTCATAAAATTAAAGAGGTTAACTGTAATCTTCAAGGTGCATTGAGTGCGAATTATTCGAAATCATGGCTGTTAAAAAGAGTGTAAAGTTTATACACCTTTGTTAAATTAGAGCATTTGCATTTTCCCCCCAAGTTTATCTATATCCAGGTTGCATTGAGGAGTCATTTGATGCCTAATTGGCTTATCAGTATACATTGTTACATCTAATTATATACATAAAAGCACTGACGGCATCTCTATTCTCTTGAGAAAGAATTGACATCATGACAATAATTAATTAACACTTTTAATAATTAGGTGAGGGAGTAATTATTTAGTTTGTGTAATACATATAGGATTCTCTTTTAGATAAAGTTTAATCTTGTCTAATTAATATATATATATATATATATATATATCACATAGTTTTGTTTAGTGAGACTTATCAATTTCTAGT